GCGTGGATCAAGGTCTCAAACTGGTGCCTTAAGAGAATTGGCTTCACTTTAGCCAGCTGCCTCAAATGGAAGAAGCTTGATTTTACGACTGACTTCACCTGGCTGTCAAGCTTAAGGTCAGAGTCCACTTTAACCCCTAGGTTTGTGATGGTAGGTTTTAAAAAGTGGGCCAGGGAACCCAGATCTACAGGGGGGGTTCCAGAGGTGCCACCAAAAACCATCACTTCTGTCTTGTTGTCATTAAAATTTAAAAAGTTAAAAGCCATCCAAGCCTTTATGTCGTCAAGACACTTTAGTAACAAGTTTACAGAGCATGTGTCATCCTTTTTAAGAGGCACATAGATCTGACTGTCATCTGCATAACAGTGGAAAGAAACTCCATGCTTTCTAAGTATGGAGCCAAGCGGAAGCAAATATAGGGAGAAGAGAAGAGGGCCAAGAACTGAGCCCTGTGGGACCCCACATGAGAGGGGAGCAGAGGAGGACACAGAGTCACCAAGGCCGACACAAAAAGTTCTATCTGCCAAGTATGACCTGAATGTCACACAAAGAATTGTGTGATGGTACACAAACATCTTCATTTGTTCAATCTTTACAGCCATTGCAAAATATGTTCTTTATACTGGCACTGGGTTTATGACATCATACTAACAAGTGTTTGTAGTTTAGCGCCACCTGTTCACTGTGTACGTCTGGAAGCTGTAGATGCACTGAAACCCCGATCATACACTGCACAGTACAAAAAACTAACATAGTCAAACACAAAGGTTCAAAAGTTCTGAAACACAGACACAACTGATTTTTCAGAATTACTTGACTGGTCATTTTTATTTGCAGAGGAAACAAACTTTGAGGAATAGAATGTTATGTGTTGCACACAACCATCAAAACTCAGCTTTGCTCACAACTTAACAAGGCATCTATTCAATCGTATCACAAGGTAGGTTATATGACAGTTTATAGGCTATTGTTTGTAGGTGCGTCTCAGTTTGTTAAGCTCACGTCTCATGAACATTGGACCCTGGAGTAGCACAAGATCATTACAAAAATATTAAATATTGAAAGAAATGAAAGAAACTACTTGGCCATTACAATCAAATTGTATAAAGGCTATGAATAAAACCAGCCACGTTATTCTTGCAGTAGACCTTCACGGTTCCAAAATATATATATATATGTGTGTGTGTCTTTATAAACGTGTTGTGTGAGATAATATGATGCTGCCTGAAGTCATAAACCACCTGTGTTGTAATTGGTTAAGTAATGTGAGCGCTCAGGCTCCGTCTGTAAGTGAGCCAAGTTTTGTCAAAGCATTCTTCAGCATTTTCCAAATGCACTGGGATGCCCATTTCACAAGGAATGGGATAATGTGCAAATGTTTTTAATTTGGCAAAAATTCCTACAGTAGTACATAAAATAAAATCGCTCATATGAGACATCAAAATAATATCAAATAAATAGAACTCCTGGTGGCGGTTATTTTTCAATCCAGGCTTAGCCTGGTCAGATATATGATCATCAAATTACATACTGTCATTTCTTTTTTTTTTTTTTGATATTTCACTCACACACTATTCAAAATAAGAATAATCAGTAAAGACACCTGTCCACGCAGATATCCCACCAGCTGGGTTTACAACGCATACACAAAGAGTGTTGCAGATATTAAAACAGCCGAGATCAGTACACCTCCTTGTATATACAGACGTGGCAGCTCGATCCTCCGGTGTACCATGTAGAGGACAGGAAGCGTAATCAATGACCGACAGCTGCTGACAGTGATGGGAGCTATTGAAGGGATGTGTACATACAAAAGTTATGACACATCTGTGAAATAAATCCTGGTGCACACCTTAATGTGAGGTATATTTAGGGACATAAACTATCAGTGCGAGAGTCCATGTTCACTTGTTTTGCACTTTTTTCTGTTCTTCTCTGGGCTTTACAATGTACTCTTTGTACATTGAATAGATGACCCCTAAAAAACAAACAAAAAAAGCACATGGATGAGTTAAAACAGTTACTGAAATCAAAAACGGCAAGCTGCAGTTTAAATTTCATCACTGACGGGTTGAAAACAAAAAACAAGCCAAAATCAAGACCTATATTTTAACTGATGACCCTTTAAGTTTCACACATCAAAAACACGTTACTGTGAAAAAAATATGCACAATTAACAACCTGAAACCGTGCAGCTAAGTTCAGAAACGTGACACTTCATCACACGTACCGAGCGTCATGGCTCCGACCACGAAGCCCTGGGCAGCCACACGCATGTGGATCAGGTGCACTGACATCTTTGTGTCTCCTCTGCTTTTCATTTTCATCAGTCTGTAGCCAACGATGGCAAAGAATCCAGCCATCCCTGTAACAAGCAAAAAAGCAACAGATGTGTTTACATAAATGACTGAAACAATATCAAGGTGTCATGATATTAAAATGTAAAATTGTAAACAATGGATTATTGCTAACAAGCTGAATGATTCTGTTGTACCTTGAAAGTTTTCCCTGTATTCTAAGCTCACACATGTTTACTCTGTCATCACGGGGTTACCACTTGGGCACAAGATGTACTCACCCACTGGGACAAATGGATTCTCCTTCGCTTTTCGCATAAACTTAGACTCATTATCCTCGTAGGTAGACATGCTGACTGAAAAGAAAAAGACAACTAGGTATTAGTTTTTAGGGGTGAAACATAGCATGCTAACTCGTTCATTGCAGATAGGAAGCATTTTATACACAAAACACAACATAAACCCCAAGTGTCAGCGGTACACTCATACATAGTGCTTCCAGTGGTCCACCTAGCTAGTTTGTTAGTAGCCACACACAGCTAACGGTATTAGCACACTATGTTCTGAGGGGACACATGAAGGGCAGCGAGCTGTCACATCTCTGCATAAGCCAACTGTTGGATAACTGAACTCGGTGTCAACCACATCATCTACATCACCGCGTTAAATTCTGAATAAATGAAGCAGCTCAGCCCGAAACTCCCCAAAGAGCAGCAGGAATTAAAAGCATCGTCAGCGACAGTTAGCTCGCCGCTAGCTTTAATAACAGCAGATAAAAGCTTTATTTAGCATCGCAGTGAGGCGGACCGGCTCTCACCTGGTTCTCACCTGGTTTAAGGAGACTGTCGCTGTTTAAAAACGCCGGTAAAGACACTTCCCGGAGACTTCTTTCAGTTTTCTGAGCTTCACTCTGCACATGTGAAGGAAGTAATGAGTTTAATGAGCCGGCTACGTGATCGACACCAGCGCCTTCACACGCACGAGTGACGTCACGGCTGTGGTGCGTTCAGGTTGCGGGACAAAATGGGAAATACTACTTACACTGTTTTTTTTGTTTTTTTTTTTTATTATTTTTTTTGGCTCGGGCCACAAATCTTGAGACTTTATCCCATTATTGTTCCGTTTATTTCAGATTTAGACTGAACTGAGTGTTGCACTGAGAAGTGTTTTGGATCTACTTCACTGAAGGCATATATAACATAACTTGAGTTCCTTCCTTAAAGCAGGTGATAGTGATGGTGATTAGCTTTTTTTCTAACAAGTTGTAGATGTCAGTATCATCTTTAAAGTCTCAAATCTTCTCTCAGTGTGAAGGTCTTATATTTAATGCTGTGCCTTTCTGTTATCTTTGGGTTTTGTTTTTTTTAGCCCTTCCATGTGTTTGTTTTAAATTGAAATGTATTGTTTACCTCTATAGTGTCGATAAACGCATCATAATTATTACTGAGCTCCAGGACTATTCATAAAACACCTGAGTGGTCAACGCTGGTCAACTTCACTCATTTCCATCTTTTATTTCTTTTTTTTTTTTCTCAAAAAGGAATCAGGCTGAGTGGTCAATAGTTGATAACCTTAAAATAAAGAAACACAAACTCATATTAAATTAACTAATTAATCTATCAACAATCATTTAACATCCAACATACCATAACTCAAATTAGCAATTACAATTTAATCCTTTGAATATAGTTGAAACTGTCTCAACCTACCAGTGGCGTCTCTGCGGTCATCAGCACAATGAGGAACAAAGGAAACACACCTGCCCAGGACCCACTAATGAAGCCTCCTTCTCTTCTTCAGCCCTGAGCTGACACCTACTCACTCAAAAATGGCAGCACTGCCCTCTTGCTGCTAGTAAAAAAAAAATTGAACTATAAGTGCAAAATTAAATAAACAAACAAATACAGATGCACACAGCATAATCTAATTCATAACTTAACAGTAGTGCTGGACGCCCAGGTTGAACATCGCCACTAAGTTAACGCGTCTTTTTTAAAGCATCGTTGTAATTGTGGATGAGATTTTTACATAAACAAACGCACAAACCAAAAAAATCTAGAACATATTGGTACGTCTCCCTTGTAATTAATCCTCAGTAGGCCAACAGAATGGTAAAATGCAGCACAATAAGACATGGTAATTTCATGCTCGCAGTAATTCCGAGGCGCCTTGAACGCAGCGGACAAACCCCCTTTGCAAAATGAGAGATGGTGAAACGGACGCGACATAAAGCTCCTCCCACGGTTTTATAATTAATCGAAAAGCGTTTTATTTTATCCCATCAAGTACTAAATCATGACTTTAAGTTACAATTTTAGCGGTAAGTCTAAATAGTGTTTGCCGCCAGATAAACTAGAGAAAATGTTGCGGTTTCTTTACTCGTCAGAGTTAATAAATCCACTCGTGTCTTCACATTTTTCCCTCTAAAATCAGCACTGCTTCGGTCTGTCTGTGCTATGACCCCCATGTTCGTTATGACACCATGCAGCGCTCGTAAATCTTGACTTACCGGCATTTACACCGAACCGGAAGTAGGTTGGAGGCAGCCTCTTGCTTCACTCCGTCGTCTCTGTGATGATGTAACCGAGGCCTCACGTCACATGCTGCGGTCACGTTTCTGCAACGTGCTGCATCTGAGCCTGACCCGGAACAATGCAAACAAAAAAAAAGTATGCACGCAAGTTTCAATATTAATAATGTTGTTTGTAATTAAATTAATACCATTAATGCAGCATGTGATATTATTTCTAACCACACAGCATCTCCAAAACAACCAAGTATGGCCTGTACTGGAAAGCATGACGTGCAGAGTCAGAGCTGGGTCACAGAGCGGAAGCCACAGGTCAGCGTTGAGTCACAGAGTGAAGGAGGATGTTGATGCTGAAGGACTGGAGTTGGCAGATACTTCGTGGGACAGGATCACAGAATGTCACCTTCAT